TTTTTTTTTTTTTTTTTTGGTACCGGGGATTGAACTCAGGTCCTTGCACCTCCAAGACTGGTGGCAGAACCACTGAGCTAAATCCCTGGCCCTCAGGTTCTTATTTATATATTTTACTATGGTTATGGTCACTTTTAGAGTGTAGTTATATTTGCTGTTAAGTACAATAACTTATATTTGCAGTTTCCTATTTGTGACATATATTACCAAGTCAAAAGCACTTGCATTATAAATGTCTTTTTCTCCAGGAAAAGGAAGGTTTTTTTATACATTTAATGGAGTTGTCATGGGATTCTTTTCAGATATATGTGGTGCGAATTTTGAGAGAAGGACAATTTGAACCATCATTTGTGTTCCGGACATTTGATGAATTTCAAGAACTTCATAACAAGCTCAGCATTATTTTTCCACTTTGGAAATTACCTGGGTATGTTCCCACCCTTGTTCAAATACTTTTTTTGTGGGAATAGTGTTAATTCTCAAATGTAGGTGCAAAGCTTTATATTAACATTTATAAGATAGCCAGACAATATCTGGCTTATTTTCCTTTGTGTCACAAGGGCCTAACACAGAACTAGTCATAGAAAAGGAGCTGTAAGTTTATTTTGAATGAACAAATGAGGAATATGTGATTAAGAGTATAATAGGTGGAATTCCAGTCCTAATTTTAATTTAAGCTTTGACTTTGTTGCCTTTACCACAGTAGGAAACACAAAATAATTTATAATCTTGGTTTCAAAAAATCACATGCTAAATCACTGCCAAAATAGTCTTGTGGGGGCCATACTAAGTTCTTCTGACATAAAATAAGCTGAAGGGCCGAGGATTTAGCTCAGTGGTTCTGGTACCTGCCTCACAAGCGCCAGGTCCCGAGTTCGATCCCTGGTACCAAAAAATAAACTGAAGCAGAAATCACAGAATTGGTTAATGAAAATCTTAGTGGTTAGTTTTGTATCTGATACCCTTTAGAAACTCTTTTTTTACTTGTAGCTTAACGAACAGTAGATTTCTCATGTCAAGTTGTCCAGATTCTTCTGACTAGATTCAAACGTAAAGAGGAGATGCTGGACATAGTGGCTTGTAATCCCAGCACAGTGGGAGGCTAAGGCAGGAGGATTGCAAATTCAAGCCCACCCTGGGCAATTTAGCAAGACCCTGTTTCAGAATAAAAAAGAGCTGGAGATGTAGTTCAGTGCAGAGAACCTAAGCTCAATTCAAGTACCACAGTACTACCAAAAAAGGGTAAGAAGCAGCCAAAGTGGGTATTAAATTTTATTTTCATTTGCAATCTCATCTTTCTAATACCACCAAAATAAGTAGAGTTGAGATTATTCTTTTAGCACCTGAGTTAGTTCCTGTGTCATCTGTGGATTTTAATGGTGTTTACAATAGCTATAGCTGATTGAATGATTCTTTTGGAGATTAGATCTCGTGGAATATTTGTGAATGACTAAAGATGGGAAGAAGTAGTAGAAAAAAATAATACATACGGGAAACTAGCAGCACATGTATCTTTGGATCCTAAGCAATCTAAGGCTTATAAATAGGAAGTGGGTAATTGAACTATTTATTTAATCTCTAGTTCTTTCAAAGTAAATCACAAAAAAAATACTTCGTAATGGATAAACATTTTTGTCTTCAAGTATATAAAAACAGTATCTTTATGGTACATATTGTACTTGATTGTATAACTGTTTCCAATGAAATAATTTAAATTCCACTTGTTTTTTTCTTTCGTAGCTTTCCTAATAGGATGGTTCTAGGAAGAACACACATAAAAGATGTAGCAGCCAAAAGAAAAATTGAGTTAAACAGTTATTTACAGAGTCTGATGAGAGCTTCAACAGATGTAGCAGAGGTGATCTTCTTATAAAGAACTATTAACATGCTATACCTTTTGTGCCATATAGTAATTAAGCTAACGAAGCTTTTTTCTCTTCAATCATAGTGTGATCTTGTTTGTACTTTTTTCCACCCTTTACTTCGTGATGAAAAAGCTGAAGGAATAACTAGGTCTGCAGGTGAGATTACTTTTTTGTCTTTGTGGATAATTCACATCCTGCCAGTCTCAAGCATTTCAGTAAATGGGATAGCATGGCAGTGGGCTTACTGGCTCTAGCAGTGAGAATGGGAGGAAGGTGTTCATTTTAAACCAGTGTTATTTCTGGATAAACTTTTTAAATAATCTAAGTATCGACCAGTAGCCTACCAGATTCTTTGTTTCCCCTACTCCACATGGAGTGGTCCTGGAAGAAAAGCCAAATTCTTTGGTTGAAACTTGAACCACTCCATCATACAGGATAAAATAAAGAAGAAAGTGTTCATATTTTCAGGTGCAGGTCCCTTCAGTCCTACTGCAGGCCAAGTAGGAGGAGCAGTGAAGTTATCTATCTCTTACCGCAATGGTACTCTCTTCATCATGGTGATGCACATCAAGGATCTTGTGAGTGATTACAAATAATGCTGATGGTAGAGGAAACTTTCACCTTGGTGGGAAGCAGTACTGTTAAGGGACTGCTTTTCTTTATAGGTCACTGAAGATGGGGCTGACCCAAACCCATATGTCAAAACATACCTACTTCCAGATACCCACAAAACATCCAAGCGTAAAACAAAAATTTCACGAAAAACTAGGAATCCAACATTCAATGAAATGGTAAGTTTAAATCATTTCTAAAAATTTCCTAGATTTGTTTTAAGATTTTTAACTTTAAAACATTTTAGATGTAAAGTTTTAAGGCTCAATTGCTGAACTGTTTATTGCACAAAGGAAATCAATAACAACCCAGTAGTATTTAACAAACTCATGTAGGACAAAGCCCTTAATCATAGATCATTAACTTTTAAAAAGACATGAAAAAGGCCAGGGATTTAGCTCAGTGGTTTTGCCGCCTGCTGCGTAAGCGCAAGGACCCAAGTTCAATCTCCGGCACCAAAAAAAAAAGACATTAAAACACCAGGCATGGTGGTGCATGCCTGTAATCCCAGCACTCAGGTGGCTGAGGCAGGAGGATCACCACAAGTTCAAGGCCAGCCTGGACTACATATCGAGACCTTGTCTCAAAAACAGACAAACAAAAAATAGACATTAAGAGCCGTGATTCAACTACCCTTTCAGTGTGTGAACCCACTCTACAATATACACAGAAAGTAGTTGTCCAGTCTGTGCTATATGTAAACACTTGAAAGCCACATAATTTGTCTTGGGCACCACAACTCTTAGGATTTTTAATTTTTATTTATTGGTGTGTGTGTATGTGTGTGGGGGTGTGCTTGGGATTGAACACTGGCCTTGAACATGCTAAACACAAACTATATCACTGGTCTATGTCCTTAACCTCTAATTTTTATTTTTATTTATTTTTTTTTAAGACAGACTCTTGCTATGTAGTGCAGGCTGGCCTTGAACTCCCTGTGTAGCCCAGGCTGGCCTTGAACTGATGGCAGTCCTTCTGCCTCAAGCTGAGTGCCAGGATTACAGCCATGTGCCACCATACCCAACAACCCCTTATTTTTATTTTATTTATTTATTTTTTGGGGTACCGGGGATCGAACTTGGATCCTTGCGCTTGTGCAGCAGGCAGCAAAACAACTGAGCTAAATCCCCGGCCCTAACCCCTTATTTTTATAATGAGCTAAAATCTTGACTTCCTGCAATTACCTGTGATGTCTCCTATTAAAACATTTCAGGCCGGGGATTTAGCTCAGTGGTTCCAGTGCCTGCCTTGAAAGCACAAGGTTCCGAGTTCGATCCCCGGTACCACAAAAACCCCAAACATTTCAGTACCTTTTTGTTCACTGATAGGCTATAGTTTCAAAAACTTATTTCTTTTCTCATTCTTTAAATTCTGGATATTGAACACCGGACCTTGCTACATGTTGAGCATGCAGTCTACCACTGAGCGCATAGCTACATCCCCAACTCCTCATGTGAATATGTTTTAATCTCTCTTAGTAACCCTCTTAGGCTGTCGTGGTGGTGCACGCTTGTAATCCCAGCACGTGAGAAGTCGAAGTGGAAGGATCACTTAAGTTCAATGCCAGCCTGAACTATATAACAAGACTTTGTCTCAGAAGTAACCCTCTTAAAATACTCAAAATTGGGCTGGGGATTTAGCTCAGTGGCACCACGCCTGCCTCGCAAGTGCAAGGTCCTGAGTTCAGTCCCCTCTACCAGGGAAAATAAAATACTCAAAATTGAAACCAGTAAAACTTCAGCTGAACAATATGGAGTCTGTAACTTTGCAGAGATATTTGTGGTCAACAAATAAACTCACTAGCCTCTTGAAACCTACTAAAGTTCCTCTACCTTGCCCTGTCATTTACCTGTGTATTACTTCTTTGGGGTAAACACAGTGTGTACCTTAACATTGTATCCACACAGAATTGTCCAGATAGAGATTGAAAGCAAGTCACTTTGCATCAAGATTATGAATTTATTAAAACCTATAGAAGGGCCAGGGATTTAGCTCAGCAGCACAGTGCCTGTTCCTGAGTTCCATCCCCAGTACCAAAAAAAACCTATAGAAGATCTTTCACCTCTTTAAAAGCATATGTAATGCTTGGCAAAGACCAGTTGGTATCATTCTTGTAAAGTATTTTTGCTTTTTTATCCAAGTGCTGTGCTATCAAGAAAATGAAATGTAGCCAGGTGTGGTGGTACACGCTTGTAATCCAGCACTCTGGGAAGCTGAGCTAGGTGGATTTCAGGTTCAAGTCCAGCCTAAGCATCTTAGCCAGTCACTGTCTCAAAATAGAAAAGGGCTGGGGAGCAAAGGCCCTGGGCTCAATCCCCCAGTACTACTGAAGAAGGGGGTTGGGGGGGTTGGTTAGCTCAGTGCTTCCTGGGTTCAATTCTCAAGTAACAAACAGTCACAAAGAACAGAAAAGAAAAAATGAAATGTGGACAGGTGTTTTTTAAGTTATTTTAGCCAAACAGCAAGAAGAATTGGATTAACAAGATGTTTCTCAGAACTTATGGTAAGGCTACCTGGAAAAAAAAACTTAGGTGTTGTGATGACAATTTAAAACAGATTTGCACACGAGATTTGCTGCTGCAGAACTATGTCTTTACTCAGAGAGCTTGCAGTGAATGATGATCAATCAGAAATCACCACTTCAAGGTGTATAAAATCCAAGAGAGGAAGCAAAAAGAAACTTTAATCCCTCTTTATTTGTAAAATAATTGTATTATGACCAACTTGCTTCCTTGCATCCCCTTTCCTAGCTATTAGCTCATCTTAAGGTAATGGCCATGTAATTTTACTTCCCTTCCCTGTCACCTCCATCCGAGAAAAAGCACGTTTCAAATTTTTAATTTTTAGCCAGTGGTTGCTCCTACTTTGTACATCTGCATGTCAAGCATTCACAAGAATGATAATACAACCCAAGACTCCTAAAAATAAAAGTGTTTCCAAAGTAGTGACAGAGACCTTACTACTTGTCATGATCAATGTTATCCATTGTATCACTCTGTAACTGATACTCACTTCATTGCATTGAATATATTCCAGCAAACCAAATAATAAATTGTAATTTACTGTATTTTTTTTTCTCTTTACTTTGCTGCAGCTTGTGTACAGTGGATATAGCCAAGAAACTCTAAGACAAAGGGAACTTCAGCTTAGCGTACTCAGCGCAGAATCTCTGCGAGAGAACTTTTTCTTGGGTGGAATAACCCTGCCTTTGAAGGATTTCAACTTGAGCAAAGAGACAGTTAAGTGGTATCAGCTTACTGCCGCAACGTACTTGTAAACCAGTCAGTTTCTGAGCTTTGGAAGCAAGAACAGTTATAAATTTATGCACACATGCATGCACAAACACACTTGTGAACTTTGTATAGTATTTTTATACTTGAGCAGAAGTTATAAAGTTAAATATATTTGCTGCATTTCAGTACATCTGTTGGACCAACAGTCACATAACTTTTATAAAATTTGGGAAGCCGTTTAACAATATATATGTCCTGAAAAAGACTTTGAGGTTGTACTACATCAGTTTGGCCACCTATTCTGGATTCTTATTCAGACATAGTGTATGTTTTCCTGTTATGTACTTTTTACAACCTTTACCACTGTGTATGTTCACAACCACCAAAGTAAAGGAAAGATGCAGAATGTTACCAAAAAACACAGCTGCTATTCACTGGGTTGAAAAGCAAAGCACAAATAGTAGATAGCTATGTTAAGAACTACTAAGTAGTTTATAGAAGTAGGGGAAAATACTGTTTTTTATTGATTATTAAAAGCGTTTTTCATAATAAGTGCCAATCACTGAAGTTGTAAATAATGGTGCCTTACTTAACTTGATATGCTTCCTTGGCACTTCATATCTGATTTTTTTTCTGACTTGATAAACAATAAATAGTTTTCATTCACTTTCAACTTACTAAGAATAAAGATTATGCTCATTTACTAATTTTTTTCCCACAAAAAGATTATTTTCTCCACTTCTGATGTGATTTATTTTAACGTGAAGCTGTGTAAGGTTTGTTTTGTTTTGTTTTTCCCCCCAGTAACTGAATGAGATTCACCGAGTCATTGCATACAATTCTATCATTCCGTTATACTTCTACATTTACTTCCAGAGTGTGAATTGAAATTGAGTAATTTCACTTCCATATATTTATACTTTATTCCCTCATTAAACAAATGAAAATTGTTCACCCCTATGCCCATTCCTGCTTGCTGTAACAACTCCGAGAGTAGGGCAGACTCTTCACAGGAGGCCCAGGACAGGGCCTATTGTGGTGATGGTGAACCTTTTAGACCTTTCAGTGATACAAACAGCCCACGTGGCACATGTGCCATAGATTCACCACCACTGGCTTAATAGGGTCCAGACTAATTTGGGAGGGGGGTAACTGGGGATGGAAACCAGGGCCTTTGCACTGAGCTACATCTCCAGCCACCACAGCCCTCTTTTTTTTTTGAGTCAGCAACTTGCTAAATTGCCCAGGTTGGGCTTGAACTTGGGATCCTCCTGCCTCACCCCCCCCCCCCAGAGTGCTGGGGATTACAGGCATGTGCTACCATGCTCATTTTAATATAGACCTTTTTATTGAAATTATATTAATATAGAGCTTATGGAACTTTGTCTTGTAAACCCTCTTGTACATTCATGTGAAAAAATTTTCTTCCATAATACAATGAGATTCAGAATGAGAGGATTGAAATTATTATACAGTAACCGTTAAGAATAAGATTCATTTTCACTACTTATTCAATTTCTGGCATAATTGTTTAATATATATATTATGTATGTGTGTATATATAAATAACCTTCATGGCTAGAATAGAAATTCAGGGGCCAGGGATTTAGCTCAGTGGTTCCGCCTGCCTTAGAAGCGCAAGGTCCCAAGTTTGATCTCCGGTGCCAAAAAAAAAAAGAAATTCAAATACTTTTGAAAATAATAATAGAAATGTAGTGATCTGTTTTTTGCAAGAAAACTGAAAATATATTCAGTGAAGAGTACCATGAAAAAGAACAGTCTCCAATTCAGTTGACCAGAACAGAATTTTTATTAACTGTGCACATGTTTAATATAAATGATGATACCTGCAGAGCATAAATGTAAGAGTTGAGGATATGTCAGTGGAACAGGTTTTTTAGAAACAAACTTGAGGGCTGGGGATTTAGCTCAGTGATGCTGCCACCTGCCTCGCAAGAGCATGGTCCCGCGTTTGATCCCTGGTACCCCCCCCGCAAAAAACTTTGAAAACGTTGGTGCCTAACACTAAATGGTCCACTTGTAGGAAAACCCATAATTATGATGTATGAATGTCTTTTTTTATGTTTAAATGTGTTGTCTATTTAATAAGTTAATTAAAATGCAGATTAAAGCACCACTGTTTGCTTTTTCCACAGTTAACTTTTCCTTAAAGTATGTAAGTAGCTTTGCAAATGTAAAGTAGCGCTAGAAAATTTCATTTAATGGGCTGGGGATTTAGCTTAGTGGTGCAATTGCCTGCCTCACAAGGGGAAGGTCCTGAGTCCGATCCCCAGTACCAAAAAAAAAAATAAAGAAAGAAAGAAAATTTCACTTAAGCTGTTGAGATCTGATTCCATTCCATGAGTTGTCACTTAGCCGTTGTTTAAAAAAAAAAAATACTGTATTGTTAAAAGTCATTGTTAATTGGACTCAATATGGGCTGCATTTTTGCAGTCTGGTGTAGCAGTGTCTTTTAACACAGATAATAGAGCTAGAAAACATGCTTTCACTTTTCAATTACAAGAAGTCTAGGTTTGTAGCTAAAGGTGTATATTTAATACTGTATAGTTAAGAGTTCAGAACAAATGATAATGTTTTTTCAATTTAACTCCTTTTGTGCCTTTCTTGGTCATTAAAACAAATATTTTAATATGTTATTTATTTGTGAAATGCTAATCTTCAGTCCATACCAAAAGACAAAAAGAAGTGGGGAGCCTCTTTGCACTACTACGATCAGTCAATTCTAAATCAGTTGAATTTTTAAATATTTTTTATAGCTTACCTTAAAGTAAATCTGAAAAAACAAGTCTGACAAAGACACTGATTTTGATGTGTAATCACAATATTTTATACCTACCTTTATTAATTAAAAATAATTCTACACGCAAGTCCTGACCCATAAGGGACTTGCTCCTGTTTGGGACCAGCAGATGCTGGCTGTCCCCGGAGCCATGTGCTTGCCCCTTTGGGAGCCAAGGTGGGACAAGAACTGTGCCTCTCTGTTCCTGCACTCAGAGGCACCTAGGTGTCAGGACAGGCACGGTCTTTGACAAAGTGCTCCTTTCTTCATTCAAAGTCTTATGAAAGTTTCAAAATCTTGCCTTAAATTGTTTGAACTATTTTTTTAGGATTCAAGTATTGTGGCATTTAAAAAAAACATTCAGGGGTGGGAAATTTAACTCAGTGGTTCCGCCGCCTGCCTCGAAAGTGCAAGGACCCGAGTTTGATCCCCAGTACCAAAAAAAAACCATTCACTTTTGATAAACTTTTGATAAGAAAGGATTGAAGCCTCACTATGATAATGTATAGATTTACTCACATACTGTTTCATTAACAGTACAAATATGAATGAATATAACTAGACACACCTATAAGAACCAAATACTTTAATTAGGATAGTGATTAAAGATGTATAATATTTTTATTAATACTTTGAATACATTTCAGTGGATTGAATGTGACTTCATAACTGTACTACGATTGTATTTCTGGAATAAAGGAACTATCCTGTCACCTCTTGTTGTAATATTTTGGTTTCAACTTTGATATGAGCTCACTGTTGCTGTTGTTTGCATCTCACCCAGGAGTGTATAAGTGTAATAATCCTGAATTTTAGAACTGGACTGCCAGGTACTCTAAAATTGTCCAAACCGAGAGTTACTTCTGAGTCTTGGAAGATCTGGACTGCCACCACTTTGTCACTATTTTTCTTTTTTTTTTTTTTTGAGACAGGATCTCATGAATCTCATTGAGGTCCCAGGGTCTCATTCAGCCTAGCTTTGAACTCACTTTGTAGAACAAGCTGGTCTCAAACTCACAGCAGTCCTCCTGCCTCAGTTTCCCGAGTGTAAATACAATGGTTAGCAACAGCCATGTTGTAGACATATCTGCCGGACTGAGAAATGTGAATTCTTCCAATACTATGCCTTCATCCTAGAGGACCATGTGATTGTGGTTCTCTGATCTTAGGACAACATGTAAAGGGGCCCTGAGACCTCAAAGAGCAATTAGAACCAGTTCTTCTGAAACACTGTTTCTATAAGAATAAAAGATCTTTATTTCACTTTTACCTTTTTTAAAAAGTTAGAAAACATTATAACTCTATGAAGAAATACCTCACACAACTTCAGTTAGTAGCTTAGAGCTAACATATATATAAAGAATATGCGTAGAGGGCCGGGGATTTAGCTCAGTGGTTCCGCCACCTACCTCACAAGCACAATGACCTGAGTTCGATCCCCGGTACCAAAAAAAACAAAGATGCATAGAGGGCTGGGGATTTAGCTCAGTGGTTCTGCCGCCTGCCTGGCAAGCGCACGGTCCTGAGTTTGATCCTTGGTACTGAAAACAAAATTTTTTTAAGTCAGATATTGCATTATATTAATTTATATGAAACATTCAGGCAGATGTAGTGCCTGATTCCTATAATCCTACAAATTAGAGGCGAGCCCTGGGAAATATAGCAAGACGCTGTCTCAAAATAAAAAGGGCTGGTGTTGCACACTTGTAATTTCAGCATTGTAGAAGGCTGAGGCAGAAGGATGGCAAGTTTGAGCCCAGCTGGGACAGTTTAACAAGACAGTCCACTTGCCTAGCATGCTCAAGACCCTGGATTCAATCCCCAGTATTGCCAAGAAAAAAAAAGGTAACCCATAGAAGGAGAAATCAAGTTAGTGGTGGGGAGGGGAGACCAGCGAGTACAAGCTTTCTTTTTTGGAGTGGTGGTTGCACACAAGATTGTTATTGTAAAATGTCATTGTATATTTTTAAATGGTTAAAATAGTGAATTTTGTAGTATTGAAATTTACCTTTATACAGTTTTTTAAAATATTTGATCATTGAGCTGCTGCCTTTAACGAATGTGTTAACAGTATTCTCTGTGTAGTGCAGTTCTGCCCCCCTTCCTTGTCTTTAAAACATCAGAAGTTTTCCATTTATAAAAGTTGTCAAAAAAGATGCCATAGGGCCGGGGATTTAGCTCAGTGGTTTTGCCGCCTGCTGTGCAAGCGCGAGGATCCGAGTTCGATCCCCAGTACCAAAAAGAAAAAAAAAAAAAAAAATGATGCCATAGCCAGGCTTGGTGATGCACACCTGTAGTCCCAGTATTTGGGAGGCTGAGGCAGGAGGATCACTGCAAGTTCGGGGCCAGCCTGGGCTACATAGCAAGGCCCTGTCTCAAAAATACCCCCCCCCCCCGCCCCAGTTAGGCCATATGTAAAGGTAACAGCATGGCTTAATAGAAGGTAAACACGATTTAATTAAAATTCAACACATACCTACATCATATTGATACTTATGAGTGTACATTCACACACCTACATTGTATTTTATCATTGATACTAATATATAAACACTTCCAGGTACGGTGAATCAAAAACTGCTCCAGGGCAGGAGGCTGAGGCAAGAGGACTATTTTGAGTCCAAAAGTTTGAGAATGGGATGGGGCAAAATAAACCCTGTCTCCAAAAAGAAAAAAGGCGGGGCGGGGGGGTTTAAAGACAACTCAGATGAGATGCTGACATGACTGTCTTACAGAAATGAGAGGAAAAACAGACTGTTTGTATTTTGGACAAATGGACCAGTGCCTTAAAACGAATTGGAGTGTGAAGAAGTAGATGGAGGCAGGAATGGAACCTGGAGCCAAGTTTGAGATACCTATCCCACGTCTGGGCTAAAAATGCAAATTTCGTTAATGATATATCGGACTAGAGCTGGGAAAAGGGATTATCCAATTTGAAGTTCCCTATATTTGGGAGAAAATTACTCAAATAGTGTTAAGTTGCAAGACTGAACGTTTTAATACCTAGAGTTTTTTTATTTTAAACTTGTTACTTTAACTTTGATTTCACCGAGCTTCCAGCTTCCCAGGACTGCTTTTTGTTGTTTTGAACAAGTGGCTTCATCTGCCTATTCTTTGAGCGCACTGTGTAACAACACTGGTGTCCTCAGTGGCGGGTCCTCTTTCCCGGGAAGTTCAAAAGCCTCATTCTCTCCCGCATCCTCCTGGCCTTGCACTCTTCCTAAACTTTCCTCTCTCCTCCGCTCGTTCACATGGTCACGTAAGTTCACATGGTCACGGAAGTCCGCAAGGCTCTAACCGTCCGCGTGCGGGAAAGAGCCCTGCGGGGTCCGTCCTTTACGGCCAGGATCTCCCCCTCACACTTAGGATCTGAGGGCTGGCTGGGTAGCAGCCACTACATTACTTCCTTCGCTACACTCAGGCCACAGCACTGTGCCCGTGAATTACGGACAGGGGCAGACTGAGGGAAAGCAGTGAAGGAATGAACTCTGATCCCTACAGCTCTAGCTAAGCCATTCCCTACCTCCGGTCCAGGATTCGGACCCTGTGACTTTGGCACTGGTGGCACCTAGTCCTAGAGGAGGCCCCAAGATGGGAACTTTGACTGGAAGCTGCGTTTCCCCCAGTTTCCCGCTCTGGCCGCAAGCCAGACCGAGGCCCAAGCAGGTCCGACCATACGTCCGGTCCGCGAAGGGCACGCAACCGCACCGAAGTGCATTTCCGGGAATGTAGTCACCGAGGCGGTGCGACGTGGCCCCGCCTCCCACATGCGAGGACGCTGAGACGTGTGAGGTCACTTCCGGTGTGAGGGATAGTTTCCTGTGCCGTTTCCACCCTAGCTGTCTTTTTGCTTCCAGATTGGCGCCATCATGGGTCGCATGCATGCTCCCGGGTGAGTTAGGGGTGCCCAGCAGGATTGCCGGGCTGGGGCGTGGGGTGGGGGAGAAGGAGGGAATATGGGTTGCGGGTGGAGGGGATGATGTTCCGTGCTGCTGCGGCACGGGCCGCGCCTCACTCCGTCTGCTTCTGTCTTCAGGAAAGGCCTGTCCCAGTCGGCTCTGCCGTATCGCCGCAGTGTCCCCACCGTAAGTAGCGCGCCGGGGCTGGGGCGAACCTGGGAAGGAGGGTGGCATTTATCTCGGGAGAAGCGGCGCTGGGTCGGGCTTCCGGTGTGCTCGAGGTGCGCCGCTTTGCGGGTGGTGGGCCCCCGAGTTTAGGCACCATCCTTAGTCTTATTCTGAGGCCATTTCTGCCCTCTCAACAGTGGCTGAAGCTGACGTCTGACGACGTGAAGGAGCAGATTTACAAACTGGCCAAGAAGGGCCTCACTCCCTCACAAATCGGTGAGCGTTCCTGTTTAATGTAGCTTTTGCTGTCGGCCCGCATGGGACTTATTAAAAGATTCTGAGATAAAGGTGCCTCGCACACGCCTTGAAAATCATTTGTAGGCCTTTTGGCTTTCTTGTTGAGGACTGAAACCTGACCTTTATTTGTTGAACTTTCAATTCTGACAACAATCGTTTAAAATAATTATTAGTTTTTATGTATTTTACAGTTGCGGAAACTGAGGCAGGGTGCGGCTAAATCTTCTCACATCACACCTTGCTGAGTGGAGGAATTGGAATTGACCGTTTGTATAAGAGAGCTAGCCGGGGATTTAGCTCAGTGGTTCTGCCGCCTGCCTTGCAAGTGGAAGGACCCAAGTTCGATCCCCGGTACCAAAGACAAAACAAAAGATTGTATAAGAGAGCTTGAATACTTCTCCACTGTTACCTGTAGTTTGAATCTCAGCTGTTTGTGACTTTCTGCAAGTGGCAAATGTTTGCCTCCGATGTATTGAACATGGTTCTGGGCCCAGAGAGTAACTGGTCTTTTTTTTTTTCTTAAGGGAAAATATCTGCTCTCTTAGAGATTATATAGGTGGAGGTATTGCACAGAAAGATAATATGTAGTAGGGCCGGCGATTTAGCTTAGTGGTTCCGCGGCCTGGCTCGCAAGTGCAAGGACCCGAGTTCGATCCCCGGTACCAACATAAAGATAATATCTAGTAGATTACCAGGTAATCGGAAGTAATTTGGCGTCTAAAGGCAATAATATATGCATGTAACGTTTTTAGAAGAATGCCTTGTATATTCTCAGTAAATGTTGGTTTTGATTATAAAACAAGCATGCAGAAACCACTGATTACTTGGACAGCTATTTTCTAGCAAACTCACTATGATGGACATTCAGAGTTTCCACCAAGAGCTAGTAAACTTCATTGATGTCTGAGTTTTGCATGCTTTCTCCTGTTAGTTTCTGTAATTTGTAAAAGTAGACCCCAGGCTGGGGACAGTGGCACGAGCCTCTAATTCCAGCTGCTTAGAATGCTAAGGCAGGAGAATCTCAAATTCAAGGCCAGCCTTGACAACTTAGTGAAACCCTACCCTGTTCAGAACAAAAAGTAACTCCCATCTTATGAAGAAGAAACTTGGAAAGTGACCTTCTGAGCCTTGACATGACATGTCCCGATACACGATTCCCTTTTTCAGGTGTGATCCTGAGAGACTCCCACGGTGTTGCACAAGTACGTTTTGTGACGGGTAATAAAATCTTGAGAATTCTTAAATCTAAAGGACTTGCTCCTGATCTCCCTGAGGATCTCTACCATTTAATTAAGAAAGCAGTTGCTGTTCGAAAGCATCTTGAGAGGAACAGAAAGGTAAGAGGGTAAATAAAAGCCTAGTACTAAGTAGAATTGGTTGAACTATCTTTTTTTTTTTTTTTTTTTTTAATTTTTTTTTGGTACGCGGGATCGAACTCTGGTCCTTACACTTTCGAGGCAGGGGGGAGAACCACTGAGCTAAATCCCCGGCCCTGGTTGAACTATCTTTATTTTGGTAAAAATTACTGCATCTGATTTGAATTATCTAAGATGACTCAGGACACAAACGAGTCAGCACTACAGTTTCTTTGAAATAAAAATGTAGCCGTGTGAATCCTAGGCAGTTACTTTATTGCAAGAGTAATGGTGACTTAGAAAATTGTATGGTAGCTATACATTCTCTTGTTAATGCTTAATGTTTTTTAGTTTTCTTAAATTGTATCAAATTTATTTTTTAGGATAAGGATGCCAAGTTCCGTCTGATCCTGATTGAGAGCCGGATTCACCGATTGGCTCGATATTATAAGACCAAGAGGGTCCTCCCCCCCAATTGGAAATAGTAAGTATCTAACTGTTTGTCACTAGAACCTGAGTCGGCCAGTTAGTAAATACTTAGAGTAGTGAATATAGTAAAAGGCCTAATAATAAATATTTTAGCCTTCATGGGCCATATCATTAGTTTTGGGTTTTTCGTTTTTTTGTCTTTCGTACCTGGGATTGAACCCAGGACCTTGCGCTTTCGAGGCAGGCACGGTGCCACTGAGCTAAATCCCCAGCCCTCATTAACTGCTCTTATAGCTCATCTGTGCCTTTGCTGTGGTACGGGCAGTACGTAATTAAATGTACATGGCTGTATTCAGTTGGGACTTTAAGACAAGCAGAGGACCATCATTTGCAGGCCTCCAGTTTGGACCGTGAATAAACCTTTTGACATGTATATAGATAGGGGTAACATTTCCCACCTCTGCCCCCCCAGGTGTTAGTATACGTCTTTTTTTTTTTTGGTACCGGGAATCAAACTTGGGTCCTTGCGCTTGCGCAGCAGGTGACAAAACCACTGAGCTAAATCCCCAGCCCGGTGTTAGTATACTTTTAATTTTTGCATGACCTGCTCGCTGTGATGATTGATATCCAAACATTCGGTTTCCACCAGAAAGGTTTTTCTCATGTAGGCCAGTTCTTCCTTGGATGTCTGTATGGTTGAGCGCTGAGCTGATTCTGGAACTTGGTTTGGTGCATTTCATATGGTTGGGTTCATTTTAGCTATGTGGAAATACTCCATTAGCAGGGAAATTCTTTGAACGGAGTCTCAGGAGCAGTGTTAATCCCAGTTTACTCTTCTCTTGTTTTCTTTTTCAGTGAATCATCCACAGCCTCTGCCCTGGTGGCATAAATTTGTCTGTGTACTCAAGCAATAAAGTCATGATTTAACTAAAAGTATGTTTTGTATTTATTTCTCCTAAAGAAAAACCATAACTAGTATCTACTAGTAATTCATATGTTGATATTTTAAGTACTTATGTTTGATGCATTTGATGTTAAATAACTGAGATGGCGGGCGATCACCATAGTGTAGCATCAGAAGTCAGTGTCAGTGGAAGAATCTTTGATGTGGAGAAACCTTGGATCTTGCTTATGAGACTTAAAGAAATACTTTTTCTCCAGTATTAGGGACTGAACCCTGGGGCGCTATACCACCAGGCTTTGTTCCCAGCCTCTTTTATAGTTTTTTTGGGGGGGTACCAGGGATCAAACTCAGGACCTCGTGGTTTCAAGGCAGGCAGTAGAACCACTGAACTAAATCCCCAGCCCCTCCTTTTATGTTTTGAGACTAGAGTCAGGCACTGTTGTCCTACCTCCCGAGTAGCTGTGATTACAGGTGTGTGCCACCATGCCCAGCAGAAGTAGTCCTTCATCTTCACCCTAAGCAACAAAATTATTTAAAATCACGCTGTGGGAGAGCCCTTGTTTTCAAGAGACCAGCCTAGGTGGTACTGGCTCTGGGTATAGCTCCCCAGCTCATTTGCTGGCTTCTCCAGGACACTTGATGTTTGGTGTTTACCTGCCCAGCATCGTGTGCCCTAGTTGGGTATGAAATGAGTTTCGTTTGTGTGTGTGTGGTATTAGGAAGTTGAACTCCAGGTCTTCACAATGGGACTCAGTTTGAGCTGCAGCCCATTTTTTTGGTTTGTTTGTTTTTGGATATTCTTGAGACAAGGTCTCAGTTCCCCAGGTGGGACTCTGAACTTGAGATCCTCCTGCCTCCGCCTCCTAAGTGCTAGGATTACAGGTGTGCACCACCATGCCCACTTCTCTGATATCTTGGTTTTGTTTTCTCATATATGTTTATTTCCCTGGCATCTTCATAATGTAGTATTTTATGGTAAATGTGAATTCTGTGTTGATGTTGCTGTAACTTACATACACGATGTTGATGTCATCTTCTAATTTCTGTAAACACCTTACATAAAATCAGTAATTATGTCTTCGGTCTGATTTTCTTTTGTCTTCTGTGCTTTATTATTATCAGTCTTTGCATCAAGATACATAGCAATGATAGGTTTCTTTTTAAAGCTTAGTATTAAATACTAAATATCTTTTCCCATTTTAATTTTACATTAGTCTGCCAAGGGAAAAAACAATTAAAACTCAAGTTATCTGAAGCCTGGACACACTTGCATGATTAGCCGGGCTATGTAAAAGTTGGTGGCTTTATTCTTCCTGCTGTGTAAAGCAGATCTAGGCCCTAGAAAGATTATAATTGGTTTTGAAAAGTGTGCTACAAAAACGGATGGCTTGTTATAAGCCTGGTTACAGAGTAAGGAGGGGGGCGAAGGAGGGACATTTTTCTTTCAGAAAATTTCTGGTGTTCCAGTCCATAATTTTTCCCAAAATGGTTGGAGGGGGGGATAAAATCTCAACTTGAGCTTTGAAGTACTGTCTCTGGAGGGACCAGTAAGTAGCTGCTTTGCCAAGGAGGGTGACCGTGGGGTAGGGGTGTGGCTAGGTTGGCCCTCTGCACCCTCCCCAGCTGGGGAATGGAAATGCAAAGTATTGCCCAGTGGCTGTCAGTGACCTGACGCTTGATTGGTACTGAATTCTCTTAAGAGGTTTCTTCTAGAAACAGACAACTCAGAGTCTTCCTCTCACTTCAGCAAAGAAGTTGTCTTTAAAAGCACTTGGGAAGTTGCTCCTCCACCGTGCGAGTGGGAAGGCTCAGCCAGGGAGTCATCAGTACAGCCGCCCTGTAGGCCATAATGGAATTCCTGCAGGTTGGAGACCCCATAGAAGTGGACAAAGGCTGCTGCAACCACCAGGACATGGAAAATCTGATGAGACTGGAACCATATGTCATATTTTCCGGGAAAGAAGCGCTCAGGAATATGAGCAGCACAAAGGCCAGCACCAGTGATGTACATCACAGCCATGAGGAAGAACCAGCCCATCTGGCCCACTGTGGTGGCCTTGCCAAAGCCCTCAGTGATTGTAAAGTGCATAATGGGCACAACACCACTCAAACCAAGTCCCAGGAACACGCCTGCTCTCGTCTGCCGGTGCTTAGGAGTGGCAAACCGGTCCCACTGTGCTACAGTGATGGCAGAAGTGCCCAGGACACAGACAATGGAGAGGTAGATGAGCCGAGGCTGTGGGGAGCAGTACAAGGAATAATAGAGCCAGGGGACAAAGCTCCCCATCAGTAGAGCAATCCCTGAATAGTCCAGTTTGGAAAAAGTCCGTGAGACTGAATGACAATAGACGGTGTGAAAGAGCCAGGAGAAGCTGAGGCAGAGCACTGTACCCAAAAAGAACATCCTGAAAACCACCTCGTGTAGAGGGGCCGTGAAGTACATATTTGGTCGGAGCATGGTCAGGATTCCCAAAAAGAGAAAGCACAAAACCAAGTAGATGGGTCCAGATGTTGCCAATTTCTGTATGGATGTGGAAGATGCTTTTGAAGCAAGCCCAGAAGGGCTGGTGGCCATGTGACAGGTAGTCATTGACCTTCAGCCAGTCAGGGAGCACATCTTACAGGATGACCCTCCAGTGCCCCTCCCAGACCTTATACACGAACTCCTCCATCTTCTTCGTGGCACGGTGGGCCTGCAAAGGGAGTGTTAGCACCTGCACCTCCTCCTCCTCTTCCTGGGGCACTGGGCATGTTTGCTCATCAACTTCGGTTGGGTTGGCGATTACCCGCTTGCCTTTCCTTCTAGCAGAGGTCCCAGTTCAGCCAGTTCCACTGTCAGTTTCCCTGTTACTGGCAGGAGTCCCAGTGCCCTGTGCTGCCTCCCATCCTTTGTGGGAAGACATCTGCCTGGTACCTCAATACCTTGCAGCTTCAGCTTTGGGGAAGGTTGGGGTCTCTCAGCCCCAAGGGGCAGAGATCTCCCTGTGATGGAAGATAGGCCAGGCGGGCAGGCTGTGCTGGGGGCCGCGGTTCCCCGCACTACATCCCGTGGTGCTGGTGGCACCTGCGGCCCAGTGGTCCCAACACTGAGCGGCCTCCCCGGGCCGGAAGGGGCACGCGACCGCCAGAGTCACCTCAGCAGCTCGTCACCTCTGCGGGGCCTCCGGGCCTTCGGTCTCTTTAGTGTTCTGTATTTCTAATTCATCCTCAAACTTTGAGCCATAGTTTTTATCTCAGTATGTTCCAAAGTGAGCAGTTGTACCTTTTTTTCTTGGTGACCTTCCATCTTCTAGTTCTCATTTAGACAGCTTACTGTTTTTTGAGGCCTGAGTTCTGACATGTTTCACCATCAATGCAGGGATTCTTTCTGCCCCTGGTGTCAGGTTTCCCCATTCTTCACATCTTCCTCGTTACCTAAGGGGCTCAGCCAACCTCTGCACTCTGTGTAGGGAACTTCATGGAGCCTGTGGCTTTAGCTGCAGTCCTTGTGATCTTTGATGACCCAGATTCACACCTCTAGTGCACACAGCCCTCCCTGAGCTGCGCGTCTTACATGTACATTTGCCCGTCCCACATCTCCAGTCGGATCTCTGATAAACACCTGAACTTTATTCCAAACTCTACTCTTGAATTTCATGATCTGAACCTGTGTTATTCAAACCCAGACATCTCTCTCAGTAAATGGCAATTTAATTTAGCCTTAGGCAGAAAACCTGGGTCTTACTTGCCTTGTTTTCTCTTACACCTCATCTCCATTTGGTTACCAATTCCTCTTGACTCCACCTTTATAGTAAACCCCAAATTTAACCACTTAGCACGTTACAACTGCCTGAATCTGGGTCACTTTCTTGGCCTTTACTACTGTGGTGGTTTCCTTCCGTTCTTGGACCCAGCCCTCTTTTCATCACCAGCACCAGCACGGTCTCTACAACGTAAGTCACATTGTGTCCCATAGTCTCAGCCAGCTCTGCACATGTGATCACAAACCCTTAGTTTTGCCATACCAAGGAGTCTCAGCATCTGGGCAGGATACCCATGTGTGGCAGGCACACTCAGGAGATCTGAAGTGTTTACCAAGGAGAAACAGCATGCTGTGTGAAAGATTCCCTAACTGCTAGCCAGAGGAGGCATGAGGCATTTCCACCCTTTCTTGGACCAGAAGAGCATGGGAAGTTATGTGTCTGAAGCTGGCAGGGACACCTTACAGAGGCTGTGGCCCCCACTGGCCAACTCTCATAACCCAAAAGCCAAGGAGCTTGTTGGTGTGGTCCATAATCCTCGGCTTCCCAGGTAGCAGAGCAAGTCGATACCAAAAGGTGCAGAGGCACTGCAGGACACATGGGAAGTACCCAGTACCAGGGGTTCCCGTGCCAGGCATGGTGGTATACACCAGTAATCCTAGCACTCGGGAGGCTGAGACCGGAGGATTGCTGCTAATTTGAAGCCAGCCTGGGCTATTTAGTGAGTTGGAGTCCAGCCTGAACTTCGTAGTGAGACCCTGTCTCAAAACACCAACAAAGGGCTCTCCAGCTCTCTTGTTAGCCTTCCCAGTTACTTCAGCCTTTACACAAATCCTCTTTCCATGGCCCCTGTCCTTGCCCAGGCCTTTTCCTGGTTGGCTTGTACCTTCTGTTAGGTCACTGTTCAAATTTGACCTCACCAGAAACTGACCTTCCAGCCACCTACTGAGAAAGCCCCTCCCACTAGCCTCCAGCCCCGAGAGCTGCTGCTTGACTTCAGAGCACTTTTTTATTTTTTGGTACTTAGGATCGAACTCAGGACCTTGCACTTTCGAGGCAGGCGGTGGAACCACTGAGCTAAATCCCCGGCCCCTTCAGAACACTTTTACCACTAGACGTGTTTTTTATTCATTGTGTTCCTTTTCAGACTGTAAGCAAACCCCATAACAGCAGGGACCTTGTTCCCTATTATGTCCATATTTTGAGAAGTATCTGGCACACAGGAAGTGCTCAATGAATGTTAAATGAAAGCATTTAAAGGATGAAAGAAAACTTGAAATCTTGGGAAA